AACGAGAACGAGAACGACCACAACCGCGACCATGGCGGACCGGAACTGGAACTGCGGGGCCTGCACCCTTTTGAATCCCCCGTCCAAGCGCCGGTGCCTGGTGTGCGGAACCCGCCGGCCGGTGGCCAAGGACGGCACCACCGAGGGATCCCTTCCCTCGCGGAAGCGGCCGAGGAACCCCTTCCCCCCTCCGAAGCGAGAGCAGCAGCAGCCGCAGTTACAGCTACAGCCGCAGTGGCAAGAGCCCCAGTGGCGAGAGCGGCAGCGGCCGCAACGACCGGCGTCGCAATGGCAACAGCCCCAGTGGCAGCAGCGGCATCGCAAACGGCCCCAGAAACAGGCGTCCGTGGCCAGCTACTTTTCCCCGGCACCCAAAAAAGGGCGAGCAACGGGGAGCGGAAGCAGCGGCAGCAGTAGTGGAAGCAGCAGTGGAAGCAGCCCCCCTTTCGTTGCGGTGCGGCACAAGGTCACCCCGGCGCAGGCGTCTCCCGCCGGTGCCAACGAACACGCCCTTGCCTCGGCTTGGATCGGAACCGACCCCGGCACGAAGACGAAGACGAAGACGAATGCTAATGCCAATGCCAATGCGAATGCGAATGCGAATGCGAATGCGAATGCGAATCCAATTGCAATTGCAACGGAAAAGACGAGCACGAATGCGGATGAAAATACGAGCACGAATGGGGATGCGAGTACGAATATGAATATGAATATGAATGCAAATACAAACACTACTAAGCCTGCAAATGAGTCAAACGCCACAGACACCAAACCATTGGATCGCGTCACCGAGGCAAACGAAGAACTGGAATGTGCCAGCGCTTCTGATGGGATTGTCGAAGAGAACGAGAATGACAACGAGAACGCGACAGAGATCGAGGTCGAGATCGAGAACCACAACAACACCGACAGAAGTTTCAGGAACACCACCGATAACCAAAAGGATAACCAAAAGGAGCAAAACAGCGACAAAAACAGCGACAACGACAACGTCGGGAAGAAGAATGAGTGCCAGGATGCGGGGGCAGAAGGGTCGTTGGCGTCGCTGCCATCGCTGCCGTTCCCGTCTCCGCCGTCCGAGCCCAGCCCTTTTGCCTCTCCCGTTGCATCCCAATCGGCGGTCGGTCCCGGGCCCGGGGAGGGAGAGGTTTCCGTTCGGGAACAAGGGACGAGAGAATCTCCGGCGCCCCCCCCGGCTTCCCAAACCAAAGGGGACCGGCGGGTTCCATTGGTGCCCCACGGATCGCCAGCGCCAGCGCCACCGCCACCCCCAGCGCGGTCCGTTTCCCACCCCGGTGGCGGTGCCGAGGTCGGTTTCGGTACCGGAGGCAGCAGCCCGGATGCCAGCCTGGACGGCAGCCCCGAAGGGGTCCGAACCCCGGCGCACCCGGCAGCGGTGGATCTCCCTCTTCCGACCGCCGGGTTCGGCTTTGCCTACACGCCGCCCTGCTCGCAGTCGCAATCGCAGTCGCAGGCCTCCGCGGGGGACCTCCTCCCCGAGACCCAGGAACCGGGCGGTGCCCAGCACCACACGCCCCGCCMCTACCGAACGGAAGCGGGGAGATGGTTGCCGGCCAGCGGCGGCAGCAGAAGCAGTGGCAGTGGCAGTGGCAGCAACGGTGGGAACAACAGCGACAACACCGACGCATCCTCTTTGTCGACCAACCGGGAACGGCCGAAATGTTYGACCGGGGACCGAGCGAGCTTCGCGTCCGCGGCAAGAAAGAGACAGAGGCCGATGCCTGCGAGAACCACGTCAGCGACGACGGCAACCACCACACCGGCACCGGCAGCGGGAACGACGMCGACCACGAAACCATCCGCGGCAATCTTTCACACCGCTGGCTCCGGGGCTTCCATCGAGGTTTCCGAGGAAAGGATCGAGGAGATGGGGAGACTCCTCGGGAGGCCAACCCCCTCGTCGGTCAGGGAAGCACCGGYGCCCGTTCCGCGGAGCGGTGTTTCACCCCCACCGGCAGGSYCCCCCCCGCCGSCCACCACCCGGKCGGSTWTCCCGCCCGGGGTAGCTGTTTCTGCGGCGGGGGAGACAGACATTCCCSAAGAGCTGCCGCTTCCGAGACCGGGACCGTCGCSGGCGGAGCACTCCGGGTTTCGGCCTCTCGAGAATCCTCTGGCAGTGTTCCWGACCGCTGGRTCTGGAGCYTCGATTACGGTATCAGAAAAAAAGATGAAGGAGATGGATAAAATGCTAAACGAACCTTCTTTGCCGAGCAATGGAGGACAAAGACCGCCTACAGTTCAAAAGCCTGGTTTACTTCCCTCAAAGTCTCCTCTGGCAGTGTTCMAGACCGCTGGGTCCGGAGCTTYGATTATCGTATCAGAAGAAAAAGTCAAGGAGATGGATAAAATGCTAAATGAATCTTCTTTGCCAAGCAATGGAGGACAAAGACCGAATACAGTTCAAAATCCCATGGTGCAACCCTCAAAGA